TTAGTTTGGGAAGGTGATGTTTGTAACACCCAAATAACCACACACAGTCGACTCATTTTCGTTATACAAACTTTTTGTCTCAGATCATCTGTTTCCTGTGGTTTCTTAACATCTGCAACTGTATTCCATACAGTCTCCTCGGGCTGCTTCCATCTGCACTGAGGCAGCTCTCTCCAGGGCTCCTTCATCACCAGATATATTTCACTGGCCACACCTGTGCTGCCGGCATTAAAGCGGGTACCCCATGCAGTCCCGGCTGATGTATAATCTAATCCTAATCTATACGGTCAAAGCTTCAAAAAGCTTCTTCATTTAGGTTAGAAAGAATGATGTTCATATTATGTTCATTTATGTTGGCCCCCTAACCAACACTATCTCCAATCAGAGATTTTTAATATGATAATAAAAATATATGACAGGCTCTGTATGTGGTACTTGTTGGTTTCCTCACTGGAGAACAGTATTTTTCTAACCATTTGTAAGCTCTGTCCTTTTTTCTTTTTTCTTTTTTTTTGGCTAAACTGCAAAATCCCATGCCCTCTTATCCTAAGTTAGTTTGAACTTTTAAACCAAATATTTTGTCCACAATTAAATAAAAGCCAAGATACTTTTAGATCACACTCTCCCCGAAAGATTTGAGCCAGTGGCTGGGGGCACACGGAGGGAAAAGCACAGAGTTCATATCAGTGCACCCCGAGGTTCCATGGGTTTAACATCTTTCAAGTCCTTTCTGTACCTCAGTAAAATGCTACTGACAAATGTTACATTAGAAAAACAAATGCTACTGGCCAACTAAAGCCTCAACCTTGTGTGTATAAATATATGCGCACATACATATATGTTGCATGCTTGTCTGTAAATACACAGCCACTTGCATATCCTATATAATAAAAGGGTAATATGCAAATTTACCCTAACAGCAGAATGACTGGGAATGACTGGTCACTATGACACACACTGACCACCAGGGGGCAGATGCTCAATGCAGGAGCTGCCCCCTGTGGTCAGTGCACTCCCACAGGGGAAGCTCTGCTCAGCCACAAGCCAGGCTGACGGCTGCCAGTACAACAGTGGTGGTGGGAGCCTCTCCCACCTCCTCAGCAGCACTAAGGATGTCCGACTACAGCTTAGGCCTGTTCCCCGCTGGCAAGTGGGCATTTCCCGAGGGCTCCCGGGCTGCCAGAGGGACGTCTGACTACCAGTTTAGGCTCAATCCCCCTGGGAGCAGGCCTAAGCCAGCAGGTGGTCATCCCTCGAGGGGTCCCAGACTTCGAGAGGGCACAGGCCGGTCTGAGGGACCCCCCCCCCCGAGTGCACAAATTTTTGTGCACCAGGCCTCTAGTACATATATATGTATGTAATTTGTTCATTCATTCAATAGATGTTTCAACATCTACCATGTGTCTAGCACTGCTGAGTCAAACAGCAAAAAACTCTTAATCTCTCAGAAAAGAAAGAAAAACACCCACTCTGCAAGTTCGCACTGGAATATTCAGTCTTGTGCTTAGACCAGCAACATTTTCTTCTTTGCTTACAGCTGAATAGCTGCAGGCTTTGTCCCCAGGGCCACAGTGGGGCTCTTCTATGTAGCTGTTCAGACCCGGCAGGGAAGAGGCCCGAAGTGAGCGCAGAGTGGGTGGGGAGACACACGCTCAGGAGCATTCTGAAATGTGATCAACACACACAAGGGAGGCCAGGGTGGTGCAGGAGACCCAGGAATGGGAGGTTTGTTTATGGAGAAGTAGGTGGAATTAAGTGGGCTGAGCCTGGAAGAGAGGAGACCAGTTGGATCAGGGTGAGGGCAGTGGCAATGTGCTCGCTGAATGGATCTGAGCTACATTTTGCCAGTAGCACTGCTGAGATGTGCCGAGCGGGATGGAGATTGATCCCCTGATTTCCAGTGTGAACACGCTTAGTGGGGAGTGGCGCCACTTACTGAGATAAGGAACGCACAGACAAAAACAAACTCGGGGTGAGCAGGGGAACTAGAAAGTGTTGACTTGAAACATCTGATTATATTTGATTTTTATCCACTCAGGGTCAGGGGAAAGTGCAAAGGCAGGCAAGAATTTAAATCTTGGCTCTAGCACCTGCTACTTGTTGACCTTGGGCAAAGTTACTGACCACTTAGTATAATGGTTGCTTAAATGTCAGGGTTAAATGAAATAATGAAAGTGAATGGGATTGCTAGGCTGGGTTCACAGCCAGTACTTAGTGAAATTAGCTAACACTCTCCCCCAGTATCTGTCTGCTGGAGTCAATTATCCTGAGGGGATGAGAGAGTGTGGGTGGGGTACAGAGGCCCCTGGGGGGAAAGGGGAAGATGAGGACCAAGGTGGGAGAAGATAATGCCGACAGGTCCCTGGTCAGTTTGAGGGACCAGTTTTGAGTCATCCCCAACCCAGGGTAGGGTGGAGGGTAGGATGTGTGGGGTGGGAAAGGGGCAATGGAGTCACCTTGGGTGGGAAGTGGGGTGAGAGTGGGGAGAGGGAGAGGATAAATAAGAAGCTGAGGACACTCTGTCCTTAAAGACCTGTGAGCTGCTTCAGGAGCCAGGTGACTCAACATGATTCAAAATTGGGGAGGAGGACATTCGTACCACACCTGAGGGCTCAGGGCACCACCAACAGAGGACAGACAGCTGCACCTGACACAGCTGTGATTTAAACCAAGGGCACCGCTAGCAGGGACAGGATGGACCACAGGCACCAAGCTGCACCAGGGGTTAGGAAATCATGAATGGACTCGTCCTGAGCACAGGTAAGCAGAGATACCTGGGTGACTTTGAGACCATCTGGAACTCCATTGTGAGCAGATGGGACTCCCAGCAATCAAGATGTGAGCTTCAATGTTAATGCAATCATTTTTTACACTCTCAGGCTGGTGCAGCCAGAAGATTGGAGTGGCCAGCAAATGCTAGGTAAGGCCTACGTGGTTCCCTCACCCTTCCTTTCCCTTTTTTTTACAATAAAAGCCTCTCCAGCCCAGATTCTATCGTTTTAGTGCTTCGGTAAGAACTCTCGTTATACTACCTATTGTCATTATCTTGCCTACAGCTGCACATATGTGCACATATGTTCTCTGTTGCCTGGCAACATGAGAAAAAGCTGACATATGAGGCTAAGTAAGCAGAGTTGATGATGAGCATTCACTCATTCAGCAAATATTTGTTGAATATGTGCCAGGCATTGTGCTGGGTTCCAAAGCAAATGGTATATTTATTTCAAAATAAACCTAAGAATAGAACTGGCACACCTAGAATACATCTTTCCTTCTGTATTATGTTTTTTACCTTTCATATGAGATTTAACTATTGGAATAACATTTACCACTGACATCAAAGCGTGCACACACACACACACACACACACACCCGAAAACCTTAGCCACTGCTGGCTAAACATTATAATAGCACGCCTTCCTGCTTTCAAATGTCAGTCACTCTTAAAATCGTGGTTGGCCAGGCTATCCCTCCAGTGGGTAATTGAGGAGCATGATCTGGGTTCAGACATAAGCTAGAAAGAAGTGGTGCAAAAATAACTGTCCCAAGAGAGCTTTACCCCAGCTGGAAAGATAAGAGATACACCTGAAATAACTACATTTCCCCAGGAGACAGGCCCCCGGGCACTCAGTGGGGCTACTCTCCTGGCCCCTTCTGGAGGGATGGGGCCTCGTGACAAGTTCGGTGTCACCTTCAGGCCAATCCTTTAACTGTCCATGCAAGACCTTCCCGAGCTCTTTCTCTTTGAGTTGTGGTAGCTCCACACTTTGGGTGCCTGAGTGTTCACCATGAGCAGAGCCCTCTGCCAGCCCATCATGGACACGTAGCATTAATGAGAAATAAACCTGTTTTTCTTTTAAGCCATTGAGTTTTGGAGGTTGTTTCTTACAACAGCAGAACCGGGTTTGTTCTAACGGAAACACTGAAAGGATGAAATGGCCTACCCTCTAGAGCACTTTAGAGCATGGGGGGAGGATATTAAAGAACTGAGGCTAACGAATACAGTAGTGTGTGTGTGTTTTAATGATATTCTAAAAACTATAAGCTGCCAAGCTTGACATTGACTCTCTACAAGAGTCTAGAAGGAATAGGTAGAGAATGATCTGTGAAAACTTAAAAAAGAAAGCAGAGACCATAAGGAGTCAATGTGGTTCAATGACCATCGCAACCAACTAATTTTCGTTTGCTCTGCAGGCAGGTTTTATATCAGTCGGAGTGTTGGCAGCTAACAGTGTATTCAAATTAGAATGTCTTTCAAAGAGAGATTTATAAAGGGACTATGCACAGAGACTTCGCACAGGACATAGGGCAACCATAAGGAATTGTACAGTACCCTGGGCTAGAAGAGTGGGAATGTTACCACCCCTGAGCTAGAAGGAGAGAGAGTGACTGTATGCCAGCCACACCATCTTTGCTGGAGGGACTTGGCCAGTCTGAAGTAATTCTGTACTAAGGGATCTTGGAAAACAAATATCCCAACTCATCCTTCTCTTTTCCTCCAATTCCTTGTCTCCATTGGCCAACCCCAACTAGAAATCCAACTAGAGGGCAAAGGGGCTCTTGATGTAATTCAGATTAGTCAGCCTCCTTGGGCACAGAACAGGGGGAGAAGGGTGGAGGTCACATCTTGGGGGCGGGTGGCAAATAGAAAATATCCAGCTGAGGATTATTAGAGAAATTAAATATACCGGATGTGCCTGGGCTTGAGTGAGGTATTTGACAAAAATTGTTAGGAATTTCTTAAGGAAGCAATATAGGTCACACTCTCTTCTGTGCTCCCATAGGACTTTGTACTGGTGCCCTGGAGTGGACGGTGGCCAATGCACTTTTCTCAGCATGCTTCTCCATCTCGCTTCTGGCAATAGCACCCTCATATTCTACAAGAAAACTTGCCCCCATCTTTGTTTGGGATGTGGTCAAGTGCCATACCTTGTCTTCCACTAACTCCAAAGATTAAACACCTTAGTTAGTCCGATCAGAGTCCTAGGAACATGCCTGCTGAAACTAGTGAAAAGATGCTATTTTGCCTTTGGTTTACAGTGCTGGGAAGATGCAAGTTTGGAGCGATGGACAGCCACCGTCCCTAGCTCAGCAAAAGAAGCTGCTTGCATTAAGACAGTTTGTGCTCCTCATGCAAAGAGAAGCAGAAACAAGGGAAATCTAAAAGAAGACCAAATAATATTGCTGAGTTTCTGGATTAAACTGTTCCTGAGGTCAATCACCTCTAAATTTCTCACTTGTGTGATCCACTCCATTACTTTTTCGATTTTGCTAGTTAGAACTGGATTTCTTTTGCTTACAACAGAGATCTCTGATGAACTTACCTGTATTATAGAGTTTCCAACATTAACCTCATAGTGTTATCAAGAGTTATTTATAGTTTTCAATCCAATTAATAAAGGCTAGTATAGTAATAAAATCAACTACTATTGTTGAGTGCTCAGTAAATGTTCATGAGATGAATGATTGTCACCAAAGTAAATGAAAGCCTGTCAAAGGCAGGGCAGGGCCCAGCTGAGCCCACATAGTCCTGTGACCTTCTCTAGGAACTTCAGTTCTGCCTGCCCCCGCCCCCCATATAACATCTGCCACTAAGGGAGAAACCAAAGTAGCAACAAAAAGGTCAGGTCACTTTCTTCCCTTTCCTGGCTCCATTGCCTTCTGCTCATTCAAGCTGCAATGTTGGGCTTACTCCCAGGTCACGTGCAGGGAGCAGCTACAGATTTGAGGGAGAGGACCAGGCCTTCCCTAGATAATATTTTAATATTGCCTTAGGGCCCTCTGGGAAGCAGGTACCAAAGTACTGGCTCTCTCTCTCATGGAGTACTCTGTGGGTTTCTCACAAACACCCTTCAGTGGGCTCTCCCACTGCACCTCCTCTGCTGCGAGTGATGCAAACTCGGGCTGACTGCTCACAGCTGGCCACTCCTTGGGTACATTTTATGCAACCTCTCTGTACTGGCACAAGGTCCTCTGGGCTGGCTCCTTCAAGGTGACTAATGTGCCATGGTGAACACGCCCCTTGCCCTGCCATCAGCACAACCCACCTATTTCACTCCGCAGCCCTCTCCTTGCTCAGGCATCAGGCTCACTCCGTGTATGTACAGAAGCTTCCCTCGCCTTGGCTCAAATTGGAGGAAGGAGACTACCTTCCTCTCCCCCACAGGTAGGGAAAGAATCACATGGCACTCCAATAACTCTTTTCCAAGAAATTCCCACCCCCAGTTCTCTTCCTGCAAACCCTACCTCCTCTTAAAAATGGTCTGGACATTGATGGTAGGCCAAGACTCATGAACTGGTTGGAGATTTCCAGTTAGCAAGACCTACCAACATGGCTAAATTCCTTTCTTTAGAACCTCCCCATGCCATAAGGCAGCCACTAGCCACATGTGGCTATTGAGCACAGGAAGTATGGCTGGCCTAAACTGAGATGTGCTGTAAGTGTAACGAATACACCAGCTTTCAATGTCTTAGTGTGAATAAAAGAATGTAAAAATATCTCAATGATATGAGATACACATTTTTTTATATATTGGGTGAATTAAATTTCTCACTAAAATTGATTTTACCTCTTTTTCCTTGTTTTAAAATGTGACTACTAGAAAATTTAAATTAGATATGTGGCCCACATTACACTTCTATTGGATGGTGCTGCTATAAAATGTATGGGCATAGGATTTAGGGCCTGGCCCAAGCTCGGAGACAGGAAAGGTCCCATTTCAGAGTGTTAGGTGACATTTGTAAATCCCTTGGGCGTATGCCTGGCACGTGTTAGGCACTCAATAATTAGCGTAAGGGAGAGACTTGAGACGGAAGAAGAAATGTTCTTTTGGTGGCAGTAGCTGATGTTGTTAGTGATCTGATTCGTCTCCCTTTACCCACCTGTAAAATAAAAATAATCACTGCTCTGCTGACTTCACAAGGTTGCAAGGCAGTTTGAAATAGTGTGTGTGATTTAAACGCTCTTTAAACTGCAGAAAGCTGCATAAACAGTGGTTGTCTTGGTGGCAATAACCATAATGGCTGCAGTAATATGCTTGACTCGTGCCAGGAGGTCAGCCAAAACCTGCCTCGGGAGCCCAGGGCTCCGGTGGGCTGGCCGCGGGCCCAGCTGCTCTTTCCACCTCATCAAAGCCGAGCGCTGGGTCACCGCCAGGTGGCAGTGGAAGCCAAGCTGCTGTCCCCGCCAGGTCCCCTGAAGCGCAGCCCCACTAAGCCAAGCAAGAAGCATAGCTTCCCAGAGGACCCCTGGGCGAAGCTCCTTTAGCATGTCCAGCTTGATGTTCGGCACTGTGGCGCATACAGAAAAGCTTCTTAGACATGGTCCAGCCCTTCAGGAGCTGCAGCATAAGGAAGGAAATCGGCCCCAAACAACCCATCTAATGGTGGAGACCCTGATTGTCAGAGGGGCCGCTGCCTGGCTGGCCCTGGGGGGAGTTAGGCGAAGCTCCCAGAGAAGTGACATTGACCTGGGTTTTCCTGCCTGAGGACTCCACTTGGGGCACAGGGTGTGCCAAGAGGCATTCCAGGCAGAGGACCCAGCAAGTGCAAAGAGCACCTGGTGCGTTTGGAGGTGAATGGTAAGAGGGTGACGGGTTTAGTGAGTGCAGGCCAGTGAAGTCGAATGCCCAGCAATGTGTGTGTGGGACAGTCGTGTATAACGAAGTGTCCTGCCCTGAAATGGCAGTAGCAGCCGGGCTTAAAACTGATAGTCTGGGAAGGGAAGGGGAAGCTTGGATGTGAGATGTCAGGGGAGAGACAGAGTCGGGCAAGTTGAGAAGGGCCTTGTGGTAGACCGTGGGCCTTGGGCCCTCCTGCAGTGACTCAGAGCCGCTGAATTTCTTCCCAGCTGCAGGGAGACAGCTCCTGCTGTTCTGAAACGCTGCAGGCATCCCGGCAGGCTCTGGAGGAGAAGCTCTGGTGGATGTGCTCACACGGTGCCCAGGTGTGCTCCTGAGCCTCACCCTCCCCAAGGGCTGGTGTCCTGTGCCTGGCCCCAGCGTGATGCCATCCTCCTAGGCCAGTGGTCGGCACACTCATTAGTCAACAGAGCCAAATATCAACAGTACAACGATTGAAATTTCTTTTGAGAGCCAAATTTTTTAAACTTAAACTATATCAGTAGGTACATTGTTATTAACTTAATTAGGGTACTCCTAAGGCTTAGGAAGAGCCACACTCAAGGGGCCAAAGAGCCGCATGTGGCTCGTGAGCCGCAGTTTGCCGACCACTGTCCTAGAGAAACTCCAGACAGAGTGGACACAAGCAGGCACTTATAAAACATTTGCCAATTTGCATTCACAAGACCTGGTGCACTGGCTGCATGAAGGCAAACCTTGTATGTTAAGTGAAGGCGGCCCCACTGGATTGTCTGAATCTTTGCTCTGAGCCTGAGGCCTTCATCCCAGGAGGGGACCAAACACTTGCCTCCTAATGATTCTAAGAGCCAGCATTTAGTAAGCAGGCTACTTTGAGTCAGGCATTGTCCTGGGTACTGGACATACTAGTACTTCACAGCGAATCATTTAACAGGTGAGAAAACTGAGGCTCAGGCAGGGTAAATGAGTTGCTTAAGGTGTTCAAGTGGCAGAACCAGACTTTCAACTTAGATCTGTCTGACTGTAAAGGCCTTTGCTCTTTCCCCTACACCAGCCTGTTTCTCTCAATCATGAGAAAACAGTATTTCTGGAAAGGGACCGGAGGTCACGTAACCCCCAGGCAATGAAGACAGGCATCTTCCTTCAGCAGCCTTGGCAGGATGTGGTCTGTGGAGGCTGCCGTGGGCTCCCTGCAAGATGGTGTGGGGCTCCAGCTCACTACTCTCCCGGCCCTTGGTTCAGAATGGGGCCCGGGAAAGCAGTGGAGCGGAAGCAGGAAGCAGAAAAGAGCTCGGGCAAGGTGTGGTCTCCCGGGGCTGCCCAAAGCTGCCGCTGACAATTCCTAGCTTTGGGCGGGTGCCCTGGCTGCACAGGAATGTATTGACTTAGTGACCTTTTCCTGGGGAAGAGGAGCTGGCACCTGTGGAGGCAGCACCGCATAGAGAGACTCCTCTTTCCGCAGGGCACCAAAAGGACCCCTTGCTCACAGCCATCAGAGCCACTGCACAAAACCCACCACTGGTTGGGTTCTTTCTCACCTTCCTGGGCGTGAGTCACGTCTCTCAACTGTCAGAGAGCTATTACCCTGCATGAAGAAACAAGAGAGATTAATTGTGGTTGGACTGGCCTGTGCAGGTCCGCTGTGGACTCAGGCCAGGGAATCCACTGAGCAGTCTTTTCATTCACCCATCCATCTATCCACCCATCCATCCATTTATCTATCATCTGCTATGTCCAGGCACTGTGCTTAACCCCAGGGAGAAAAATAAAGAAATAACAATAGCCCCAATCCTGAGATTTGGGGGTTCAGTTACAGAAGACTAGACCAGTGTCCCCAGTCCTCTGCAGCTGGTGAATATAAATGGGGACCTGTTAGTTAAAATAACTGAGTCAGAACGTTAATTCCCTGCAGTGTCCCTCAAATATTTCTTGAAGTTCCCAAGGAGTGTTTGACATTTAATCATCAACCAAGCCATCAGTTTAACCAACCTTGACCCCTACCCTAAAGCTTGCCCTGGTTGCCCCTTGTCGTGAGTTCTGTAGAAATATCCAGAAAGGACAGTGCCCTTTCTGAAAAAGTCATGGCTACTTAAGTAGGGCTGCCCCAAGATCACAAGCCTTCTGTGCAAAGTAGAGAGAGCTCTCCCTTGCTCTGCATGGACTTGAGCCCCACTCCCAGTCCTTTGTCCTGCTTCCCATGTGCAGAGTGATACTGAGTCCCATGCCCGGGAGGACAAAATGGCCTCTCACATTTGCACTGGACTTTTGTGAAAAAGTGCTGCTTCCGCCCAAAGTCTACAATGCCTGTGACTCACAAGCATTTCAAGGAGCTTGGTAGAGAATGAATAAATGCCTCCCATGAACAGCCACAATATTCTCCCATCGCCCACTTTTCTCTTTCTTCTAATCCCACAACTCTCCCAAAGTTTTGCCTCTCCCAAAACTTCCAATTGTGCAAGCAGAATCCAAGAGGGTGCCCACTTCACTGATTCTGACTCCCATTCTAAGCTCAGCTAAAACACTCCTGCATAAGTAACTACCGTGCAGTGGTTAAAAACAAAACAAACAACAACAACAACAAAACA